TGAACGACTCATCCTCCTGGCAGACTGAGGTGGAATAACAAGTCCGCCAGAACTCAACTAGACGCTGCCTGCCTGTGACGTGCGCACGTCTCCTCATGTTTCTCACACAGAGCCATTAATGAGACATCAGTTAGATATGCAGAGACACTAGGGACTGACTGGATTAATTGAAGTGGACTAGATTAGTGAACTGAACTGACTAGATTAGTGAACTGAACTGACCTGACTCCACGCTGAATTTAATTGACACCACACTGAACTGAATTGACTCCACACTGGATTTAATTGACACCACACTGAACTGAATTGACTCCACACTGAATTGAATTGACACCACACCGAATTGAATTGACACCACACTGAATTTAGTTCAAGTTCACGTTAGATTGATTATCCCAGCAGTGGGAAATGTATTTGTTTTGCAGTTTAAAAAACACCGAACTGAACTGACTACTCATTGAACTGATTGAAATGACTCCCTGTTGAACTACATGAAATTGTGCTGACTCATTTGGGCTGAGAGAGAAACTAACACCCTCCTCCATCCTGAGTTCAGTGACAGATACTGGAGGGCTGAAAGAGAAACTAACACCCTCCTCCCTCCTGAGGTCTGCAAAGATGAAAAACAAATACGTTTCCCTTTTTTTCTAAGAGTGTATCTCCCTCTACATCTCTCTCTCCTCTCTCTCTCTTTGTATTTCTTTCTTTGGTACCCTCCCTCTATCTTTTTTCCCTCCATCTCTCTGTCTCTCCTCCTCTGTTCTGTACCATATGTGTTTATGATGTTGGATGTTCTCTGCTAGAATTTATTACGAGGGGGCTGTTCAGGACTCATATTGAACTTCCTTATTATGCAGTCTTACATTGGAGAGAGGAAGCATGTGTTTCTTATCCCCAGATAGGAAACTTCCAGTTAGGGACATAATCTAAGGCACTGCATCGCAGTGCTAGCTGTGCCACTAGAGATCCTGGTTCGAATCCAGGCTCTGTCGCAGCCGGCCGCGACCGGGAGACTCATGGGCAGCGCACAATTGGCCTAGCGTTGTCCAGGGTAGGGGAGGGAATGGCCGGCAGGGATGTAGCTCAGTTGATAGAGCATGGCGTTTGCAACGCCAGGGTTGTGGGTTCAATTCCCACGGGGGACCAGTATGAAAAAATATATATATATGTATTCACTAACTGTAAGTCGCTCTGGATAAGAGCGTCTGCTAAATGACTAAAAAAAAAAAAAAAAAAAAATAATAATAAAAAAAAAAAATATATATATATAATGATTAGTCAGGCAGAGTGTTGTCTCTGTGTCAGAGAGAGCGAGAGAGGTGCGTGTGTGCCATCCCTGCCAAAATACTACAAAAACAGCCAATCTTCCTCTCGGCTGTTTCCTGATTGAGGCATCTTGCAGTGGCACTTCCTGTGTGACTTCCTGTCTGTCTGGACCAATGAGACGCGTGATAAATCTCCACAAGGGAAGAAGTAGGAGTGGATGGAAAGATAGAGGGGCAGAGAGAGGGAGCGGTAGAAAAATTAGAAGAAATGACAAGTGGAGGGGGGTCCAGTCAGGGTTAGGGATCTATGGAGGGGGGTCTAGTCAGGGTTAGGGATCTATGGAGGGGGTCCAGTCAGGGTTAGGGATCTATGGAGGGAGGTCCAGTCAGGGTTAGGGATCTATGGAGGGGGGTCCAGTCAGGGTTAGGGATCTATGGAGGGGGTCCAGTCAGGGTTAGGGATCTATGGAGGGGGTCCAGTCAGGGTTAGGGATCTATGGAGGGGGTCCAGTCAGGGTTAGGGATCTATGGAGGGGGGTCCAGTCAGGGTTAGGGATCTATGGAGGGGGGTTAATGGGTTCAGAGTGGTTCAAGGGTGGAGCAGAGGGGTTGTTAGACAGCCTTATCCTGTGATAAAGCAGAGACAACACTCTTCCTGTTTTTCATATCTACAGTTGAAGTCAGAAGTTACATACACCTTAGCCAAATACATTTAAACTCAGTTTTTCACAATTCCTGACATTTTATCCTAGTAAAAATTCCCTGTCTTAGGTCAGTTAGGATCAACACTTTATTTTAAGAATGTGAAATGTCAGAATAATAGTAGAGATAATTATTTATTTATTTCATCACATTCCCAGTGGGTCAGAAATTTACATACACTCAATTAGTATTTGGTAGCATTGCCTTTAAATTGTTTAACTTGGGTCAAACGTTTCGGGTAGCCTTCCACAAGCTTCCCACAATAAGTTGGGTGAATTTTGGCCCATTCCTCCTGACAGAGCTGGTGTAACTGAGTCAGGTTTGTACGCCTCCTTGCTTGCACACGCTTTTTCAGTTCTGCCCACAAATGTTCTATGGGATTGAGGTCAGGGCTTTGTGATGGCCACTCCAATACCTTGACTTTGTTGTCCTTAAGCCATTTTGTCACAACTTTGGAAGTATGCTTGGGGTCATTGTCCATTTGGAAGACCCATTTGCGACCAAGCTTTAACTTCCTGACTGATGTCTTAAGA